CGAGGTGATCTTCGCGCTGCCCGCGCTGCAGCTGCACCTGCGCACGCGCCACCTGCAGCGTGCAACCACGCCCACTGACCAAGGTAACCATCACAACGGTAACACGGATTATTCCCACCCGTCACCCCACTTTGTCCCCACGTGAGGATATAAAGTTTCACCCGTCCCACCTTTTAGGTCCACTATCACCAGTAAGATGATAGATGGAACCGTTATGAAATAAAATAATTTCCAACCGTCCCCTCGTATTAAAAGGTGGGACGGATGAAACTTTTTATTCTCACGTTGGCGCAAATCCACGGCCAGCGCGCATTTTGCGTGGGAACAGGATACATCTCCTACAAGTAATACGTATTACTCCATCCAACCCACCTCGCTAAAGACTATTTATATTGACATAACTCAAAAATCACTGTGGCGATTTCAAAAATTTAAAGCCATTAAAAAGCTACGTTATCAATGAGTACGAAGTCGCGAGCAACAACTAGTCTTTAATATTATAATGCTAAGTGATTTCTGTCTCAATTTGTCTCCGGCTCGAAGGACCAGTAAACTAATTTGTTGCAAATTATTACTTTGTCAGACGAGAAGCCGGTGGTGGAGTGCAGCTTCATCACGGAGTTCGAGGACCATATCTTCGTGTCGGTGGACGCGGAGGCGTTCCTCTTCCTGCACGACCTCATCTCCTCATACATCAAGGAGAAAGACCGCGTGGTGAGTTACAGTTATACACTTTGTTGTGTGACGGAGTGAAGTTAATCTTTGACATATTTTTTTTATAACATATGGTGGCAAACGAGCAAACGGCCACCTGAATCCACCGAAATGGAAAGCGACCGCTGCCCATAAACATTTGCAATTGCAGATGCGTTGCCTACCCTTCATTGACGGAGGAGACGCACATTAAGAGGACATTTACCCTTCCTATGCGTCTCCTCCACCGTCAAATCTACTTTTCCTACCCATCCTTTCTCTTAAGAAAAGGGTGGAAAGGGAAAGGGACTAAAATTAGGCCTCCGGCACCACACTCATCAGATGAAACGCGGAATTGCTTCCACTTCACGTGTGGTCGTGGTATTACACCGGGCGAGCCGGCTAATTCGTGCGAAGATGTTAAAGCAGGCTCTACCATTGAAAAACTCCATTGCAAAACTTTACTCTGTGGTAGAACTTTTGACAGTTCGATTATCATTAATGTAATACGTCTATACGAATTAAGAACAGTTAAGTAGTAATAACTTGTTTAATTTGCATGCAAAATACCATATATTGTGCAAATTGCTGTGTTTGTTGTAGTATATGTGATGTAATGTGCAGATGCCGGGCGCGCGCGGTGCGGGGGGCGCGGCGGGCGCGGCGGGTGCGGCGGGCGCGGAGGGCGCGGCGCCGCAGGACTACCGCGACTACCGCTGCCTCACGTGGCATCTAGAGCCTACCGTCAGGTAATAACACTTACTTCACCTTGACCTTGACCTTCGCCTTGACCTTGACTTTGACCTTGTTGATTTTCGCGGTGGTTTGAAATCTAATACTTGTGACATAAGGTAGGAAACAGCACGCGGTCTCCTTAATCTACATACTTGAATAGCGAAGTAATCTGCCCAAAGTTATTCAATCATTGTAACTGCGCTTCCTACCCTTAAGGATTAACTCTTAAATGCAATTTCGAACCTTCCGAAAAAATCATATTGAATGCAAGATCGGTATTATAATAAAAAAAAAATAGTAAAAAATTTAGCATTCAAATTTTACATATTTCGTTGAATGTTTTAATAATAGTACGCAATTGAGGGTTAATCGGTGACGCAACAGACACGTATATTATTTCCCCTTCGTAAGCATCACCTATACCATCAAATCTAATTCCCTTATTATAGTTGTAAGGTGTGCGTTGTGGTTGTGTGTGCAGGTTGCTGTCGTGGGCGGGCAAGTCCATAGAGCCGTACGGCGTGGACTACATCCTGCAGAAGCTGGGCTTCAGCCACGCGCGCACCACCATTCCCAAGTGGCTGCAGCGCGGCGCCCTCGACCCGCTGGACGCGCTGCTGGCGGCCGTGCTGCTGCGCCTGGTCGCGCTGCTGCCGCACAAGACCTAGCTCTACCTAGCCACACCGCTGGCTCCCAGCTCTGATATCGCTTTTTTATAAAAGGTAACCAAACCATAGACATTCGAAATTCCAGATGCCTTGTTTTCGACGGAGATGCAGTAAAGAGGATATTTCTCCTGTCTATGTCTCCTCCACCGCCAATTCCACTTCCAAGATGGGAAGGGAAAGGAACTATAGTAAGACTTAAGGTTATAATACATTGAATTGTATATCCACTATAAATACCGTGTTAATAAACTTTTATTGATTGTAAAGGTTCAAAGACATCATTCGTAATAAACGCGATGTCCTCACATTGAACAATATTAAGGTATTTGTAAAAACAAACGTCCTTGAAAATTCTAGAAAACTGTAATTAAATAAATGTCACACAGATCTCAAAATATTTATATAGCTAGCGAAAATAATTAACCAAACTTTAATATTATATCACGTTTTTAACATTGATATGTAGAAAAAAATAACACATCTAACTCGAACTTACAAGTACATTAATTTTTGGTTAAGTTTACTATTTTAATTTTCACCGAATTTTTATATTAAAAGACTTTATTTACTATAAAAGTTATTTTGTGTGCAGTTAATTATAATTTTAGTTAATAGAAACAATTGTTATATAAATATATACATATATAACCTAAATCTAACATAACCAATATCTTTTAAAAACAGATACAATCTATACTTTAATATAGATTTCTCCGGATTGATCCAAAGCACAATAACAAGGAATAAAATGACTCCGGAGATAGGTTGGGATAAATTTCCTTTGATTTGTCATTTACAATGCAAAATGACATGAAAATCCATTCTCCTTTAGATACAAAAAAAGATATCGAACACTCCATAATTAGGTTATGTACTACTCTATTACTCAGTAACGCCATTTTCTATGTACATGACGTTTTTACATATTTTGAAACCCACACCGGGGAAGATATCATTTTATAAGTTTTAGTACATAAAACCGGCTTAGATATCAGTTCTGCCAGTTAAAAGTTCGACTGGTCAGTTAAAACTGAGCGGATAACGGATATTGTATCTTTCAAATTGTATTGAAGTGTATAGTTCTTGTATATTTATGGTAGTTGTTATAAATTAGGTAATTTGGTGATTTCCGGTAGCTATATGTAACAGTTTTATAGATTACATTTTGTATGGCCTATAATATTCCAATGTATGAATATTTTGTTTTTAAGTCGAGTATCGTTAAATTTGATATTTGTCAAAAATATTTTATTATTGAATAAAAAATCGTTTAGTTTAATGGGTTTTGAAAGTAATTATTTAAATGTTTACAATATTTATGATAAAATAGTGTTACTTTGGAGGGAATCAATGGATAGGTTAGTTTAGGTGGTTTTATTTTAGCAAATTATTTTTATTTCACGTTTGTATTATTTTGTATAATACTTTTAGTGGTTATAGCGGATTGTATTTATATGATGCTTATGTACTGATATATTTTATTATGAAAATGTGATTTGTACATAATGAATGTGATATCAATAAATGTTAGACAAATTATGTTTGTTTTATTTATATATTTATCGCAGGAAGCTATAAATTGACTGTTGCTTTATGTGTAACAAACGTTATTGTCTTGCGTTTTAATATTGTTTAAGATAAAATTATTAATTTAATTCCTTTTTCTCGAAAGTAGAAACTCGATGTCATTTGTATTTAGTTCTTTTTAAAATTAAAAGTACGTCAACTTGCATACGACCAATAAGAGCAGAGCAAGCGGCTCGAGTGGCCTTTATTAGCTCGAGCGGGGTCGAGGCGCAGTTCAGTGCTTAGAGGGCGACGTTTGTAGTGACATGTTGTGGTGCGTGTTGGCACAGTGGCGAGTCGATTGAGGAGAGTAGTGTAGTAGAAGTACGAGTGGGTGCCACGAACCCACTGCTCGGTCTTGCTTGTTGATTTGCTATGCGATAAGTGTAGATTCCGAATTATATTGTGTTAATCCGTGTCTCTAGTGTTTTAATGCTCGCACTTCACCCAAATAACGCCCACGAAACCAAGACTCGGTAGCAAAGATGTCGGGGAGAAAGACCCAACTCCGACATATTAATAATTGATAATCCAATTATTGCCAAATTATATTTACTAGCTTTCGCCCGCGACACCGTTGCATGTGACTTTTACTATCAATGGAAAGTTTTGGGTGCATTTTTTTCTAAAAACTAAAAAGAAAACTACTTTCCTACTTTCCTTTTTGGATAAGTTCACGTGCCACTTTATTAATTTATGAAAATCAAGAAAACTAAAATTCAATATTCTTTAAGTAATATTGTAAATGCGAAAGTTCAGATGGATGGATGTTTGTTAGAGTTTGTAGCGTAAATGGCTGAACAGATCTCATCATAGACTTCCCACTTTTTTTTTTATTCCACGCGGACGGAGTCGCGGGCAACAGCTAGTGTAAATTATAATTCAAACGCTAAGAAACAGCTCAGCGTGTCAATTTTGACGTTGGGATATTACCATACAAAGACCGGTGAAAAATGTTGTTCCCTGTCTAGCCAAAATATTTGTAACTCACAGTCGGTTACTAAAGGATTGGTGTAGTAATAAAGTCAACGTGGTATTTGTATTCAAGAGGCATTTTGTCATTTCTGTCTGAGGCTTTATAAATGAAAATACAACGTTTAGCAAAATAACTTTTTAATAATAAAAATAAACTTAAATAATAAACATGACATCAAGTTAAAACATACAAAAGACTTTAGCTTAGCTTATCGCATTGAATCTGAAAAGACACATAATGTGCAATATATTTGTCTTTTTCTATTCATTACTTGTTCTTAGGCTGAAAGAGACATATAGCATTTTTATATAGCACAATAAAACAAATTTTACTCAAGCTTAACAGCTAGAAAAGCTTGAAAGCTTTATTTCGTGCATTTCTATACGTTATTCATAGTTTTAACTGAGGAAACACGTATAACAATGCGGTTTTCTTAGTTTTTGTGGCAATTAACAGTAAAATTGACAATTTTATTCTATACATTGTACACTTAATACACGTAAATAAGACTGGGGGAGATCATTACGTTTGTAAGAGAATATATGAATAGTTGAATTAAATAGGAAAAAAAATATAAACAATTATACAAGACTAGTCACACTTTTATTTATCTTTTGTTGTTAGTTTTAATATTTTTTTTAAAAAAGAGGGATAATGATTGAAAAAATGTTTTACTTAAAAAAAAGAGTTTGTATCATTATTTTAAACACTGAAACAATACAAAATAAATCCAAAGACAATAGATGACATTTTTAAGTGACGTTAATTTTTCATTTCTATTGAATTCTATCTATACTATTATAATAAAGCGTAAACACACACTTCTTTGTTGCCTAAGATGTCAGCAATCACAGCATATTTTCGAATAATTCTTTTTTTAATAAAAAGCCTTACACTTACGTCACGCTTTAGGCTATATATTGTTGTTGTTAAACTTATGGGATAAATAAATCGGAAAAATCCTTGATGTGGGAAAGGGACCATACAGTACAAGCTGCAAACATCAAGGAAGCAAGATTGCCATGGTACGGTAATTTATATTTTGACATTTGCAATAAAATTAAATTTTATATTTTCATACGGATGAAGCCGCATGGGAATAGCTAGTAGTTAAATACGAACGCATCTTTAGTACGCATTTATTTAAATTAACGTCTAATAGCATTGCTCTATCAAAGATTTACTTTATAACGTAAATTCACTTGTATTGTGTTGTATTTGTTTTGTCAAAGTAAATGTTTATAATAACGAAAGCCACAAGTATATTATGTTTATATTTTCTTAAATAAATAACTTACAGAATTGCATTGTATGCATTACAATAATCCTATCAATATTGTGCGAACTAAATATTAAAAATGTATTGGAATATTCGAATTAATATCAATTTTAGCATATATTAAAATAAGTTATACGCGTACATATATAAATCAACATCAAACAAAATTTATTTTGATTTCACAAGAAAAATAACATTTATACAACATTGAACATGTCAACTATTTATCAGTTATTTTCAAAGTTGCTTAGTGTAGATTTCTTTCAATAAATCTTCACTAAGGGACTCTCAAGTATGTAACGACTGAGTGGGTGTAGTTAAATGACATAAGTTACAAAATGCGAGCTCTGTGTTTGGGGGCGTGGCGCGTGTGGGCGGGGGGCGTGGCTGGGGGCGGGGGCGGGGCGCAGTCAGTTCATGGCGAAGTTCTGCGTGAAGTCGTACTCGATGGTGGGAATGACGGACTGCACGAACTTCAGGAACACTATGAGGTAGGCGTGCACCGCCATCGCGCCGCCGCTCTCCGTCACCGTCTCTATTATCTTCTTCATCACCTCCGCGTGTCTTTACACATAAAACATTTACTGAACATCTTAAATACTCACTAAGGGAACCGCAAAAATAATACCTTGGGACTCCCTAAGTGAATTAAAACACTAACATTAAATGCCTTTTACAAATTCAGGTTTCCAGTTGTATTAAGTTTGAAGGTGACCACAAGGTCAATACTGTAGCTATATACCTGCAGGGGTGCACAGAAGCCATAGTGGGTCCAGAGAGGTGCGGGTGAGCCTCCATAGTGACGGTCTTCTTGGCGTGGTCCTGCGACACGTCCTCGTACATCTGCTCCACACTCAGCAGCCGGCGCTCCTGCACACAGCGAACTGTTAATGGCCGATTAAACTGCCCCTTAGTGTAGATCGATGTCTCACCTCGTCGTACCCGATGAGCCAGAGGCGCGGCGTCTGGTAGTACTTGTCGTAGGTGATGTGCAGGTCGTAGGTGCGCGTGCGCACTATGTCGTCCCCCTCCCCCTCGCCCTCCGCGCGCCGCCCCGCGCCCGCCCCCTGCCCCGCCCCCGCCCCCACCGCCTTGCTCTCGCGCCGCGCCCGCAGCTCTGTCGACTGAATACTACTATATAGTTGTATGAACACCAAAACAAATCAATTAAAAACATATTTACTAGCTAATGCTGGCGACTTCGTCTGCTTGAAATTAAAAAAAACCTTTATAGCTTATTTAGTAGTAAGATTGTTTTGGGGATATAGAATAAAAAAAAATCCATTTAAATAATATAATTAGTAACAAAAAGTTGACATTAAGGCAATTGAGACTTCGTAATGAAAGATTTTTAAGGTGCTTAAATATGTAAAGAATATTGTGTCTCACGGGATCAACTTCATCCAGCAATCCAGAGGCCTGGAACTGCTCCATGTCCTCTGCCTCGCCATCCTCATCGTCATCATCATCCCCGTCCCCCGCGCCGCCCTCGCCCTGCCCCTCGCCCCCGCTGTCCCCCGCCTCCGCCGCCTCCAGCGTCATCTCACACACCTACATTACCATCAATCATATACTCTACTACTATTGTTCACTTCAAAAAACACATCATCATAAACAGCTCACCATATGTCCCCACTAAGGGGCTTGGAACCATCCCTAATATAGGGTGATTAGGATTTAGTCAACCACTCTGGCCTACTGCGGGTTGGTTGGTATACATACCCTCCACTAAAACACTGGCATTGCATCAGTTACCTCAATATTACAGATGTTCATGGACATCAGATCAAATAACAGGTGAATTACTGTTTGTTTACTTCCTTAACTATAAAATGCATATTTATCTAAACACTAGCTTTCGCCCGCTACTCCGTCCGCGTACAATTAAAAAATATATTAAAAAAGTGTATGTTACTGGGCAGATTTAAAATTTTTTTACTGTTAGAAAGGTAGTTTTTGAGCCTATTCATTACAAGCAAAGTTTTCCTCTTTACAACATTAGTTTAGATAATATAAGAATAGATACAATTGAAATCTTTCTTAGAGAGATTCTTTATTTATTCATTGATTGATTATTTTATTTTCAGAGATTTTGACTTATGTACTAATGTACTGTGTACCTTTTCTTCCAATGTGGGGGAGCCAGTAGAGTCATAATGGTGTGTGTCAACCCAGCCTCCGTCCTCATCATTCTCATCCTCTATCACCTTCTCTTTGTCCTCACAGTATTCAATCTAAAACAATGTTTGCATGAGAATTTAATTCATACAATATTGAATTCCCCTGTCACTACCATTTTTCTGAAATTAAACTTTTTATGAACATTTTACAAGCAACTTTGATTTTTATGATTTAAGTAAAACAATAACTTAACAAGTAATATTGTTTTTTTTTACTATTTATAAATAGCAATATTAAAATATTACTTATAATGACTATATAATGCATCATCACTTGAGGTCAATACCTTGCTCCGAGTTTATCAAAAGACCTCGTCACATCTCAGTGACAATAACAATACAGATGTTGACAATTATTTAACTTGTAAGCATTGTGACAATGGTGATATTAAACCTAGTAAGAAGCTTTTGCATCTTTGAGACATGTTTTTTTTTTATTTAAACTTCAACTTCTACAGATTCTTGGTCCATACTCTTTTGCACAGTTTGTTTTATATTTTTTTGTTGCATAATCCGTATATCATTAGTGAGTTCCTTTTTTTTATATACAATTATACTACTGCTTTAACTTATAATAGCGTGACAGTTGTCAGTGGCGACAGATGTATCTTTGAACCGTGTCTATGTAATTTTTTTCAGATCTTGAGACATGTTCTACATCTGTTCTAAATTTCATGTAGCTCTGTGAAGCCATTTTGTTGATATAATGTAATATACATCTATTAATCTAAACTTTATGATTAACAAATATTGAGTATTGACTTGTAAATGTACTTTCCTGTTATTTAAAAAAGTTTTTCATAGAGCTAGTTTAGTAAGGGAGAATTCTGCAGTACCAACCTGTTTACACCGTCTGTAACATGGCACATTCCGTGTAATAAGAAACTGCTTGTCGGAGGGCAAATAGGGGCGTATCTTGCCCTCCTCTCCACGCGCCCACTGCCATGTCGGGCAGTGGTGCACTAGGTGGTCACCCGCTGCTACGAACTCTTCCGGTGTAAGTACACCCGTCTCATGGAATTTAGATTCCTAGAAACAATTCCTATTTATATGAATAAACTATTTGATCAGTGTTTAAGTGTAACATGTAGTATTATTTTCTAATTTGTACCTTTAAGGAAATATTAGCAAAAAAAAGTTAAAAACGAATAGCTCTATTTCAACAAAGCGATTCTTACAATTAGAACGTAATACCGACAGTAAATTGCTTGATTAAAGTCGACATTGTGTACACCGGTACCGATAACGATTTAAACATGTTACACAAGTTTTATGACTACGATCACAGTATTATAAACGCCGATACTACTGGTATAAATCATATAAACACAACAATTTGTTATATACCCACCTTCAGCACCGGAGTTAAATATCCCGCTACGCCCAAAGCGGTCCCTTTTACCGTATTAATTACGCTTTGCATTGTGTTTAATATTAATTACCAATGCTTATAATAAGTGATATGCCTAATATAAATTATTTAAATGCGTTTTACACCAAACAAAGTAACTTTATAATATAACTGCAGTACAGAAATCAAAATTGAATTGTCTTTGTAATATAACTCCTGTTATGATCATAGAGTAAGTGACATCTGTCTTTGTCTTAAAATGATTTAATTTTTAATATCTAATTTTTAATCAATATTAAATTCACAGAATTTGTCAATAATCCCATTTCCTATCTTATCATGCTTAATATCAGATAAAACTTGTAGCTAGAATATTAGCAATGATATTTATCATTGGTATCTTTAGGTTCCTGTTTGATTTGACAGTTTATTACTCTTTGATTTTCAATCTCAACTGTCAATGTCTCATTGATTATTTGACAATTATGTATGAATAAATCGTAATTCATTTTAGGATATTATCTCATAATTTACGTTTCTTTTAACCGGCAACGAGGAATAAAACAATTTATTATTACATTTACATTAGGTGTGTGTTAAACACTAAGATTTCTTCATCATGGAGGACGTTTTAGATGAAGTTGTGTCGTCCGAGGATTTGCAAGTAAGAAAAATTTTGTACAACATATGTGATTCATTACAACGCTTTGTTCTTGATATTCATCTTATTGTGTTATAGAAATTCGAGCAAGTATTTCATGAGCAATTGCATAAAGGTAACGTGACTCATAAAGCGCAATTCGAGTACGCCTGGTGTCTTGTACGAAGTAAATACCCTACAGATATTAGAAAGGTATGTGCAACAATGTTGTTTTATCTGATTGCGTATTTATTATTTTTTGCTTTAAATAACAATACATATGCTCATAGACATTTATCACCTCTCTGATTACTAAACCATGTTTACATATTGAAAACTGTGTTTCCAGGGCATCCTACTCCTTAAGGAGCTTTTCAACTCTCATCCTGAGGGTAAGAGAGACTACCTGTTCTACCTTGCCATAGGTAATGCTAGAATCAAGGAGTACAACAAAGCTCTGCACTATGTGAAGGCTTTCCTTGAGATTGAGCCGGCCAATCAACAAGTTCTTACGCTAGAGGTAAAAGGAAGTTTATTGTTCTCTAAAAATCGTTTTTGTTTTTAGCACAATAGAACCTCGATAAATTAAAGTCCAAGGGAAAGGCAAAATGTTTTAAGTTAATAAGGGTCTATGTTGTAGAGGTTTTAGGCTTGAATAGGAAGGGAACATATTATTTTTTGAAGTTATAGAGGTTTTTAAGTTACTGAGGTTTGAGTTATCGAGATTCTACTGTATTCACTAGATTTTGTAATGATATAACTTCTTATGCTTATATGTGAGATTTATTCTTGTTTACGATTTACGAATGTTTTAATTGCATCTTTAAAAACAAAAGCTGATAAGTCATTTGGATTTAATCCAAACTTAAAAGAATACAAATATTGGTTTTTGGATTAAATCCAGGAAGTGCGTTTTAATTCTTTTTGTTCTTTATTATTGCTTTCTTTGTTAAAATCAGCGCTTACGTTATAAGCAGACCTTTGTAAGTTTTTAAATTAATTATTTGTTACTTAAAACAAAAAAAAAACAGTTGTGAATAAATGTGGAAGGAATTAGTAAGTTTTTATTCTATTTCAGAGACAAATCAACAAGAGAATGGAGAAGGAAGGCTTGATAGGCATGGCAGTGGCGGGAGGGGCAGTGTTAGCTCTCGGAGGCCTTGTGGGGCTTGGGATTGCTCTTGCTTCTAGCAAGAAATAGCATTTAGCTTTACTGTAAGTACATGTATTGTTTATGTAAATGTTATAGGCTGTCCTAACCCTTATCTTAGATATGTGTTGACTGACATTATCATTTTTTTTCTGTTGTGGCTCTCCAAGTAGGTTTAGTGATAGATAAATTATTAGGGCAATAAAATATCAATGTTTATAAAACTTCAAATGATAACTGATTGGTATTAAACCAAGGGGATGTAAGGCTTTTCATTGACTATACATATCGACGCTTGAAAGGCAAACATAACTAAGCGACTTTGTCCAAACTTTACAGGAGAGTGTTTGTAAAGTTGAAATATTTGGA